TATGAATTGGGCACGAAAAGTTAAAAATACGCGCCTTCTTTACAAATATATTAACCTTTTGGCGTATATTTCTAAAGACGTTATACAGTTTTTAGGGTTTATATATGAGGAGATGGAAGATTCGAAAATGGTTTTCTCTTTGGAAGACTTCGAAGATTTTGAGGAAACTGTAGGGACGTCTAATGTTGATGAAGATTTTTCTGATTTATTACAAGTAATTTCTTATTTATAATGATTGATGAAGTTTTTTCTTATTTTTTGTTACTTCATTATGGATATATCTTGTTATCAACGTATATGACGCCTAACAAAATCCGAACCGAGAAATACTTCGATTATGTATAACCCTGTACTAAGCTTAATCATGAGTAACAATGTGTACCGAGTTTAACGTTTGACACAACTTGGTACAAATCGATACTTTTAGGTATTGCTCGGTATGAACTCATTGCACAGAAGTACCGAGCAAATCAAACATCAGAGTAAATAGTACCGATCTTAGTAGAGAGAATATAAGACATATGAACTTATTGGTACTGCTCAGTACTGATAGGTATCGCTCGATATAAGATCATTGTACATTGGTACCGTGTAGATCCAAGGTATTACTTCCTAATATCGATCAAAAAACCTACTCAGTATTAAATCGATATTGACTTGTACATGTAATGCTAAACTGACAGTATGAAATACGTGAATTTTTTTTCATAGGGTGTTTACAACTCTGAGAAGGAAGCATATGATAAATATTGCAGTACGCGCATTCTCATAGATTTAGTGTTCGGAAAGAGCATCACTCGTTCTGGCCAAATTCAAGGAAAATCAAATCAAAGGATTTTGTGTGTTCCAAAGCAGGATTCAAGGAGTCTGACAAGAATATAAAGGTTAAATATCAAAAAACATGTATAAGAACTAGATGTCCAGTCATAGTTAGATTTTCGGTTAGTGAAGATGAGATTTGGATGGTGAATAAATCCATAGAGAGTCACAATTACGAACTGGCTAGGCCGGATGATCAACATTTGCTTATGTCATCTAGAAACATCAGTGATGAGAATGCATCTGTTATAAAATCTATGTCAGAAGCCGGGATAAGAACAATTAATGCATTTACATACTTATGCGATGAAGTGGGAGGTGTAGGTAATTTGGGGTTCACAAAGAGGAATGCATACAACTATATTCAAAAAGAAATAAGAGCCAAAATTAAGAATGGGGACACCAATTCACTAATCAAGTTGTTTAAAGAACAGGCAGCTGATGACAACATGTTTACTTGGGATGTGCAAACTGACGAAAAGGATAGGTTGTTGAATTTTTTTTGGGTTAATGGGCTGGGGAGAATTGATTATGACTATTTTGGGGATGTGATTATTTTTATACAAGCTATCGTTTAAATAAATATAACTTAGTATGTGTCCTTACTGTTGGAGTGAATAATCACTGGTAAAATATTCTATTAGGTATGGCTTTTTATCTGAGGAGACAATTGAGTCTTCTACCTGGCTATTTAGAATATTTTTAAGAATTATGAATAACAAACATCCCATAATTATATTTATCGATCATGACCAAGCAATGGCTAGGGCAATAGAGATTGCATTACCTAATACACAGCATAGGTTGTGCCAATGGCATATGTACAAGAAGGCTCCTTCCAAAGTCTTGTGCTTTAACAATAACAATAAAGAGAAATGTCTATTTTATTATTGTTTCAGCAAGTGTGATTCTGTGGAGGAGTTTGAGAGAAAGTGGAATGAAATGATCACAGAAGGGAACCTCCAGAACCATCAATGGTTGAATGATCTGTACAAAATCAGGGAGAAGTGGTCTACAACATCCAAAAAAAATTATTTTAACCTTGGCATTTTATCTACACAACGTAGTGAGTCCACCAATCAAGTATGACATGGATATTCCAAGCCAACAAGTATTGTCACTGAGTGTTTCCTGGGGTTGGAAAAGGTGATGAAGACTTGGCGTAGGAATGAACAAGAAGAAGATTTTAGATGTAGTCAAATAGATATGCAACCTTATATGAAAAATAGTTCAATATTAAAGCAAGATGCCCAATTTTATTCGAGAAAGTTGTAATCACTTTTTGAAGAGTTCTTACATAGACTCGGTGGACTGTGCATTGAACATTCTTCACCGGATTTATCTACATTTTCCGTCAAGAACATAGATAACTCATTTGAGTGACACAAGTGGATTGTTAATTTTAATTCTTCAAAAGAAACCATACAATGCAGCTGTGCAAAGTTCGAGATGATGGGTATATTATATTCTCATTACATGAGAGTTATGAGGCAGTTAGATATTGTTAATATCCCTGTAAAATATTTACTCCCAAGATGGTCAGCCAGAGCTCGAAAAGATTAATATTTTGGAGGTAAAATCCCATGTATAGGCAATAATGTGTGCGAACCGATTGTGGGGTCCTATAACATGATGTTCAGAAATTATATTTGATGATTTGCATATCAAATTAGCACTGAAGCACATGGTAATAAGGAGGCTAAAAAATGTGTGATAAATGTGATGAGTACAATGGCTGGAAAAGTACATTTCATCAAGGCAAAAAAATAATCCCATGTCTAGGGCCGGCAATAAAACTATTAAAGATCCTGTGAAGTGTCGGCCAAAGGGCATCTCAAATGTAAGATTGAAGGATCACTGGGAGAAAAGGAAGAGCAAAAAAGTGAAACCCGCAGAGAGGAATCCTCCTTCAAGCATACAGTTTACACCTGGAGAAATAGGCAGTCAATCGTCTTTTATGAAGAAGAATGATGGAAGTTTAAGGCTTTGCATAGACTAAAGAGAATTGAACAAGCTGACAATAAAGAATAAATACCCTCTTCCGAGAATTGATGATTTGTTTGATCAGTTAGAGGGTGCCTCTGTGTTTTCCAAGATAAACTTGAGATCAGGATACTCTCAGCTTAAGATCAGAGAAGAGGACATAGCAAAGACAGCGTTCAACACTAGATATGGGCATTATGAATTTGTGGTGATGCCATTTGTACTTACAAATGCCCCTGCAGTGTTTATGGACCTTATGAACAGAATCTTCAAGCCATTTATGAATCTATTTGTGATAGTGTTCATCGATGATATATTGGTGTATTCTCCAAATGAAGAGATTCATGCAAATCACTTGAGGATGGTGTTAAATGCATTGAAAGGGAATGAATTGTATGTTAAGTTCTCCAAATGTGAGTTTTGGTTGAAGAGTGTGAACTTTTTGAGACATGTGATCAGCAATGGAGAGATCTTTGTGGATCAGCACAAGGTACAAGCTATAGCAGATTGGCTACGGCCCACTACTGTGACGGAGATCAGAAGCTTTTTGGGTTTAGCTGGTTACTACAAAAGATTTGTTGAGGGGTTTTCTCGAATAGCTATGCCCTTATCTAGATTGACCCAAAAGGCAGTAAAGTTTGTATGGACAGATCAATGTGAAGAGGCTTTTCAAAGGCTGAAACAGTGTTTGATGACTGCTCCAATGCTTACTTTTCCTTCGGAGACAGATGGATTTCAACTTTATAGTGATGCTTCTCTTAAAGGGTTGGGTTGTGTACTAATGCAGAACGGAAGAGTCATTGCCTATGCTTCAAGGCAACTGAAAAATCATGAAAGAAACTATCAAACCCATGATTTGGAGTTAGCTGTAGTGGTTTTTGCCCTGAAGATATGGAGACATTACTTGTATGGAGTTAAGTGTGAAGTATTTACTGATCTCCAGAGTTTAAAATACATCTTCACACAGAAAGAGTTAAATTTGAGGCAGAGGAGATCGTTGGAGCTTATTAAGGACTATGATTTGGATATTCAATATCATTCAGGCAAAGCAAATGTAGTAGCGGATGCCTTAAGCAGGAAGACTTCTAGTGCCGGTTGGATGACTATACAACAGCATGAGTTGGTAAGAGATTTGGAGAAGTTAGAGATTTCAATAGTCCAGCCCAATGATGCAGAGTTTATGGCCTTGAATCAGATGATCATTCAATCCACATTGAAGGATAGGATAAGGGAAGCTTTGCCACGAGATGCAGAATTTGAGAAAGTCCTAAATTTCGTGAAGGTTGGCCACATGGAGGAGTTTGAGCTTGATGAGGATGAGCTACTATGGTATAGAGGCAGAATTTGCATCCCTGATGTTGGAGATTTGAGAAAGGACATGCTTCAAGAAGCTCCCTATTCAAATTCTACAATTCACCCAGGAAGTAACAAGATGTACCAAGATTTGAAGGAATACTTTTGGTGGCCCAGGGATGAAGAGAAGTGTAGCAGAAATGGTGGCTAAGTGTACAGTTTGCCAGATGGTTAAGGTAGAACATCAAAAGCCAGGAGGTTTATTGCAGCCTTTACCCATACCGGAATGGAAGTGGGAAGACATAGCCATGAATTTTGTAGTTGGTTTACCCAGGTCCAGAAATGTTCATGATGTTATATGGGTGATAATTGATAGGTTAACCAAGTCGGCACACTTTTTACCTATCAAACAATCTAATGTTGTTGAGAAGTTGGCAAGTGTTTATGTTAATGAGATTGTTATACTTCATAGTGTACTAAGATCGATAGTATCAGATAGAGATGGGAGATTCACCTCTAGATTGTGGAGGAAGATTCAAGAGGCAATGGGCACTAGACTTACTTTCAGTACAGCCTTTCACCCTCAAACAGATGGTCAATCAGAGAGGAGTATTCAGACTTTAGAGGATTTACTCAGATTGTGTACTTGATTTTGGTGGCAAATGGGAGACACATTCCTCTGATAGAATTTGCTTATAACAACAGTTTCCAATCAAGTACAAGTATGGCACCTTATGAAGTTTTGTAAGGAATGAAGTGTCGAACTCCTTTATGTTGGGCATCATTGGAGCTGATTTAGTAGATGATGCTACTGAAAAGCTAAGACTGATTCGTGACAGATTGAAGGCAGTGCAAGATAGACAGAAGAAGTTGAGTTTGATGTTGGAGAGTTTGTATTCCTCAAGATGAGCCCTATGAAAAGTATGAAGAGATTTGATAAAATTGATAAACTGAGTCCAAGATATGTTGGCCCTTTTGAAATATCAGAGAGAGTTGGAAGTGTGTCCTACAGATTGGTTTTGCCATCTCATATGAGTGGAGTACATAACATCTCTTCTTTGAGGAAATATATTGCAGATGAAGCTCTGAAGATCAGTACTGAATCAATAGATATCCAACAATATCTGACATTTGTAGAAGAACCTGAGAAGATCATAGATTATGACATTAAGCAGCTTCGAAGCAGAGAGATTCCTTATGTTAAAGTTCTTTGGAAGCATGGATCTGAAAAAGATGCTACTTGGGAGAAGGAATCAGAGATGAGGGAGAGCTACCCTCACCTTTTTTACTAAGGTATGATTTCTTAAGCTTGTCTTAAATTTCGAAGACGAAATTTTTATAAGTGAGGGAGAATTGTAAAACCCGCAAAATGCCATTTTAGACCTCGCACGCATTTCAAAGCGCCGCGACGAGTTTTAAGTAAAAAATTCGAAGTCGTCAGAATTCGACGCAATAAATTTTATAAAATAGAGCGCAAAATTCTGATCGTTTTGATGTATAGAACATATATCAAATTTTGAGAATTTTGAGAGTTCAGTTTCCGGAAAGTTCTAAATGACATTTTTGCCCTTGGTAACCTTTGAAGGGAGGAGAGTTTAAGTGAGGGCACAAAGGTAAATTGTGCAATTATGAGAACATTTCCATTCTAAATAGGAGACCGAAACATTTCGGTCGCCCATTCACTTCATGCGGCCCGAACCGAACGAGAGAGGGGGAGCGCGGGGGTAGAGGCGATTCCGACGAGCTTGGGAGCGGTTTCCGGCAGCCATTCATGGAGGAGCACGTAGGAAAATCCAAGGGAAGACTAAAGCATGTGTTTTGCTTGAGTTTCCTCCTTCCCTTGAGTTTTCCCTAAGAAATGAAAACTAGGGTTTGAGAAAACTTTGATTTTCTTTAAGAATTTTAATGGGAGATTGTTATGGAATGATTAGGAGATATTTTTATACTAAGAATGTGATTTTATTTAGAATATTTTGAGTTGGTGAAATTTAGGGTTTTACTTAAAATGGATTTTCTTTGGAAATGCCTTCTTAAGAATAATTCCTAATGCCATCGGAAAGCTTCTAATAGAAGAATATTGTAAGAATGATGAAAGTTTTGAGTTTTGAAATTTAGGGTTTTTCCCTAATTAAGAAATTTTTTATCCCTATGATTTTTATCAGTATTTGGGAGGATTTTAGGGGCTAAATTATGGATTCTATTTGAAATACAAGATTTCCTAATTTTTTATTTAATAAATTCCGAAAATTGAAGATATTTTATTCATGTTTTGAGTATAAGGAGAGGTGTGGCATGCTTAAAACCTAAGAGTTTTTGACTAAACCCTAATTTAGAGAAAATGTGAGTGAGAGATATCATAAATGATGTAGGGGTTTAACTTGAAAGCGTAGTTATGACATTAGGAAGAACCCTTTTATTACCTTAGATTAAGGATTTAGAAAAATGTGTAGGGACTAGTTACTTATACATTTTTGTATGTCTCTTCTAGATTTTAACCGTGTGGAAGGAAAGGACTTGATCGGGCAAACGAAAGAGGGGCACGAATTGAGGTAGGTGGAATGGGCTTTCTTAAAAATTTAGACAATCTCTTTTCATTGCAATTACATAGAAATGACAAATTCTTTTATGCTCATTATGAAACTTTTATAGCTCATGTTCCCTTGTAAGTTTATGGACACTTGAAACAAATGCAAAGTTTCTCTTTATACAAATCTTCATTGTGGATCCCCTATACGCGCTCTTGTAGCATGGTGGGGGGAAATCCGGTGAGATAGGTGCGACGAGGCGGGTAAGCCCTATACATGCTCTTGTAGCGTGGTGGGGACAGTCCTCAACCTCGACATCGGCGCCAACGACTGCTACGCAAAGGTATGATGTTCCAAATCTCATTCTCGGTGTTTGCAGCGGACTGGAGAACCACCTATACGTGCTCTTGTAGCACGGTAAGAGGGAGCCCGGTGCGACGCATACGGCGAGATGGGTAAGCCCTATACACGCTCTTGTAGCGTGATGGGGAGGGTCACTGGTGTTCTCGTACTGTACTGCTGAAGGCCCCATACACGCTCTTGTAGTGTGGTGGGATGAAAAGATGTACGGCCGCGGTGTCTAAGGACACCTACCATACACGCTCGAGTAGCGTGGTGGGAAGGCCCAGCTCCCCTACATTTCCCCCAAACGGGGGATATGCCGGGGTGCTGCAAAATTTTCGCTGAAATACACAAAGCCTGAACAATATAAAGAGAACATTTGAGCAGCAGCAATACGAAGGACAACATAGGACTTGTACTTGAACAGAAGTGCACAGAACTTGAACTAAATGTGCAGAGGTCTTGTATGAACAGCAGGGGACTTGAACTTGAGCTCGAATTGAAGACTATTGAACAAAGCTAAATGAACTAAATTGAAATCATATACAAGTGAACTCTAACATGAATCGAACAAGGTTTCATAAGACTTGAACTCAAATGAGAACTTCATTGAAATAGAACCTGAACTCAAATGAAACACAACAGATTTGAACTCAAAGCAGAAGCTTGTGAACATTGAATTTGAGTGGGACTATAAAGTCAATGCACTATACCTGTAAGAAATAGCAGATAACTGCAAGGTGCACGAATACTACCCACATGTAGCAATCAAAGACCCGCCACAAAAACAACATCTACCCTGTAGATTGAGAGGGTGATGTTGGCAATTGATGAATAAATACCTCAAGACATACGGATAACAAATGATTATCAAAATGAGTTACCACAAATGATGATCAATCATCAGTACCTGAATATATGATACACAATGAATGATGCTGATAGATACAGTGGACTTCTACAAACAATCCTTACAATTTTGCCTATAGATTGAGAGGGCAACACTGCAAATGATAATAGAAGACTCATCCCCTGTAAACAAGTACAATCAGCAAACCCACCTGAGATTGGTGACATGTGGATATGATGCAGAAAATAATGGCTCTCCTACGAACACTTCTAGGAAGTCATAGTGGATACAATGAGTTCCCTGCAAATGAACACGAGCTGCTTGTGGATAACAACAATGGATACATCGTAGGTACAACGAACCATTGTGGGCACAAGTACAGACATCACCTACGACAATGGTGATTAAAATCTATAAGTATGTTGGATACAAGGGTAACCCGATGAATAAAAAAGGATACCTCTGGCAGAATGGAAGAGATGTTTGAGCAAATTCGAACGAAACTTTCTGGTGTTCTAAAATTTCTTCTTGACCCTGTACTTAAGAAGAAAATAGTGCTTGCATCTACAAATATCAGAAACAATAAGTCCACTACACTGATAATCTCAAAAGGAGTTCTTTGCAAAGCAACGGACTTCAAAATCCAAAAAAGTGCCATCCCCGGTGAATGAGAAAAGGGATTCAACATCAGGACGATGAAGTGCCTCGTACATTCCAAATATATCGCCACCGGATCCACAACATTCGTACTAGCGGACAGAAGGCGTGTATAAGCTCTCAAATGGTAATTATTTGCACAACTACAATTATTTCAAAATACCCCTGGACGTACACTATAAATTTTATACACATAGGTACACTAAAGGGGAAAATATAATCCCGACCCGCATGGGCCCTGGCGAGCGTGTTATTGGTACACACGTCTAGGGATGCTGCACGGGTCAATAAGTGAATTCAAGCTCGAACCTGATCCTTCTATACGGGTCAATTGAAGTCGACAGGGTTCGAACCAACAAATAAGTATACAGTCGCAACGGCTGGTATATTTGTTTTACTGCATCCATATTAGGTTGTCAATGCCTATAACAATAAAAATTCACTAACAAAGGCATGAAGCGTACGAAACCCGATCCTCCTAGGCAGGTAAATAGAAGTAGATAGGGTTTGAGCCATAAGATAAATATGCGGTCATGATAACGACCGGAATATTTATCTTATACACTCATATTAGGCCTTTAAGATCTTTAACAAAGAAAATTCATAAACAAGGGCACAAAGCCTATGAAACCTGATCCCCTCTAGATAAGTTAATAGGGTGGACAAGGTTCAATCAAATGAAAATGACCTCAAACATCCTGATGATGGCCGTATTGAACGATGATCTCAACTGGAGGGGTTCACAAATATTTTCAAAATGCCTCCCACAAGTCCATTCAAAATCCAAAACTCCACCCAAAAAATTCCAAACTCCAAGATATTTAAAACTGAAATCAATTTATCAATCACTCAAAGCAAAATCCATCCACCCTCTGCAACAGTTTGTCGGGTGGACAAATCAAGATCTACTTCAGCTCATAAAAGAGCTAAATGCCTAGTAGAAAATATCACTAGGATCCATTCTAAAACAATCTCCTATTAGTAAGGACGTGGTACGTGTCCTCTAACCGACGGTCTGCCGCCAAATGGCACCGCAGGATAAACGGTTATGATCTGGAGCCCTCTGAACCGAGTGGTTTTGCCGCCAAATGGCACCACGAAATACCGGTTATGGCCAGAGCCAATACGTTCCGTATTGGCATCAAATCCTTGAGATATGAATTAATAGGATATGATCGATAGGGCACAAAGCCCTCTATTAGCTAAGATAAATTTAAATTTATCCCCTTAGACAAACATTCAACCCAGGTCTACAAGGTCCCCTTGGATGAAGCAACCCATGGCTGCCGACAAGGATCCTTCTGTCAGGTTGGGTCGACTACCTCCTCTGACTAAGTAGACCAGGGACCACGATGGCCCGGGACGACGGAACCATGGGATCTTGATCGGGTCTATCATCCACTCCCCCACCATCCGCTTTAAGTATAGGTGGTGAAATTTCTATTTTAAATATCAATTTCCAAACATCCAAACTCTTCCCAAATTTTCAACTTCCAATCAATTTCAAAATTCAAGTCCATGCTGCTATTATATGCTAGATAACGTGTATCTATACGAATCTGATTGACGATTAGCCTTAATCGAAAGTTCTCTCTCGTGATCGAGAGGGGTAATTAACTAAAGGGGCTTGCGCCTATAGGAAACCAGAACTCAAATCATAAAGTCCTCGCAAAATGAGGGCGAAATCTCTGGGTAGAGTCTTATCTAGAAACCCATCTGCCTTCCAAAATTTACCCCGAAACTTAGTTCGTTAAAACTCCCTCGCCGAAAGAAAAAACAAATCATCAACGCGGCGGGGAGGCCGAGGCCGAATTTTCGGAGCCCACACTTTGCTATGATCTAAAGAAAGCCTATAAATGAGTACATTTGATTCAAACATTTACTTGATTTGGCTCTCCAAATTCGAAGAGATTTCAAA